CCCTAAACCCCAAACCCTGAACCCCAAACCCCGAACCCTAGACCCTAAACCCTGAACCCCAAACCCCGAACCCTAGACCCTAAACCCTAAACCCCAAACCCTACACCTGCCTTGCTTGCCAGCCCGGAAGGATGCCCAATAAGCGGATTGCTGAGAAGAGCTCTCCACCTGCGCTTCATCTTTTGATGGGGTTGCTGCTAAGGAACTTAAATTCAATTACCATATTTTGGGTATCTAGTAAATGGCAGGGTTTGATAAATATATTAACTTTAACTTAAGTTGCTAAACAGCGATCCAGTCTGAGGGTTTTGCATTTAAGCTTGGGGTTCATGGCTTGGGCCAGGGCTGAACGTCGCGCGATTTAAAGTTTAGGGCTTAGGGTTTAGGGAGGGACAATTTTCAAAATTCGGGATCCGCCGTTCCCGTAGCTACTGGGCCTGCGGTCTAGGCACGCAATGATGATGCTTGTTGTGATGATGACGACGATGAGAATTCGTCATGATAATGAAATGACACTGCCAACTAACAAACCACAATCATAGTGCCGAAAGTCTCGATGCTACAGTAAGCAGGCACTAGAAGAAGAGCTGCAACCCTCCGCGGCATCCGTAGTGTGCACTTGGAAGCACGCCACAGAAGCCAGATGGGTACATCGCGCAAAACCAAAATTCGGGGTAGTCAACAGAATAAGGAGTATAATATCTTGGGGTCTATATTGGGGTCCCTTATTTTGGGAAACTGCCACATGGACATACCAGCGTGGCCAGGCAAAGAAATAGCTTTCAACAATGGCCTGTCACAAACTCTGTCAGGAAGTACACATACCTTGCAGGGCACAGCGCTCTTGCATTTCTGCAGAACATTGACAAATCATCGAACAGGACCAAGCCCAGTCGAAATCAAGACGGTGCTGATAAGGTGCACGGTGGCTCTGAGTCTCCGAGCTATGCATCATAATACTCGCTTGAAGGCAAGATCCCAGCCTATTCACCTGGTTGCCACCATCCGTTGACAAGAGGAACATGAGCGCTTTATGTATGCCGTATACACAATGATTCCAAGCACTAAAAGCGCATACAAGATCCACACAGCCCGAAGGCATAATCACAAGATACCACAGAGTGTTCCGTGTCCTTAGAGCCCGTAAAACGTTTTGCGTCAGCACGGTCTGAGCTCAAAACGAACTCCATTCCTAGTGCCAAATGATCTGATGGGTAGGAGTAGCTGGGGAGTCGCTCCGGCGGCATTTCCGAGGGCTCCGGCAGCTTTAGAAGAGCCGCTGGGCACAAGGAGGGTGAGTGAAAAATGTAATCGATGGTCCGCTTCACCTCGCCCTTTGGTCTCAACTTCCAAGTGGTAAAATCTGGCTCCTTCGAGGATTCTGCATAAGAGCTTCGTAGCATGAGCTCATGGCTCAAAGCTGCTGTGTAGGCCAAGGGTTTGCCAATCTTCTCATCCTCAGTGGACACGGCGTTCAGGTCGCAGGCAAGTATGATCCCTTCAGCACTTCGAGACATGCGTGACAATATCTCCAGCAACGAAATTAACTGCTCGCGTCTCTGCTTCTCTGCCGCTTCTGTCTTCCCCGCCTTGAGGTGTGCACTGGCTACCACGAAAAGCTCCTGAGACTTGACCTCCTTCAGCAGGACAGCCACTGCATAGCCAGCATCTGCCTCCTCCAGCACAGTGAAGCGGCTTTGCCTGAAAAAGATCCCACAGCTGTCTGTAGCTGGTGGAGTCAGCTTAGCAAAGACGCCTTGAAAGCCTGCCGAGCTAAGTTCTGGGTCTAAGCAGCTTGTTGACTCTTTCAGATCTAGCTCTTGCAGGCAGATGACGTCGGGCTCCTCGCGCAAAAGGATTTCCAGCAAGCGGAGTCTCCGCTTTGACCAGTCCAGCACATCTTCTGGAGTTGCTGACCATTCCTCCTCCTTTTGTTTGCTGTCCGCCAATATGTTGAAAGACATCACCCGGACGGAAACCGCCGTTGTCGGCGAAGACGGTGCAGAGGACCATGTCCTCTCAAGGACCGGAGGCCACTTCAGCTCATGGAGCGCGCCCTGAATGCTTTGCAGGGCGGCTTTGGGCGATGGCCCCATGCGATCATCCGCACCATGGCCAGCTTCCATGACTTCACATGACTTCTACTGGGGGCCAACTGCTGAAGACTTGTCTGCAAAGCTTTCCCAAAGCAGCAGTGAATGCACGATTCCGAGCATAAATCCCGTGTGCGCAGGGCAGATCTGGTAAGGTCTGGGTCTGCCCTGCAGCCCTTGTTTTCGCGCCAAGACTGCCCTACACTCTACACTACACTGAACTCGCTACGCAATTCTTATGAAGCCCCTCAAGCATCGTGCTCCAAATGTCAATACAAGGATACCCTAAGTTGAGATTCCTCCCACCCCCTACACAGCCACCTGCCTCGAATCCTTGAAGGTTCTCACCAGCTTCAGGATAAAGGGATGGTCCTTTCAAGGCAACGAGGGAATGTGTCACGGGACTCAAAACCCGGCTGAGAGCTTTTTGGCCCAGACGGCTCACTTGAGAGGCTTCAAAGTTCAGGGAGGCCTGTATGTCCCAAACATCTTAAGAGCCCAATTATTCGGACAGAAAGCACAAAGACACAGTTGCAAGAAGCCTATTTGCCCGGGGCTCTCACCAGGTCCATCAGCAACTCCCGCTCGTTGCAAAGGCTCCGCTGCTGTCCTTTGGCAACTGCCTTGCAGGGTTGGCACTGCGTTGATTGGCTCACATTGGCTCAGTAGCAACGGGTCTCACAAACAGCGCTCTCGATACCAAACAATAACGGAGATACGGCTTTGATAGAAGAACAGGCTAGCAGCAGCTAGCAGCGCAGTATTGCTCTTGTTTGCTGATGCTTGAGGTTGTGGGCGGCCTGGGAACGCCGGATGCACTTCAGCGCATACCTGCCATTGCATCGAAAGCAGAAATTCTGCGCTTGCCGTCCATTTCAACTTAGACGTCTCCATCATCATCTCATCTTTTTCTGCAACCACCAACACCAACAGCAGCAGCAGCAGGAGCAGGACTACGATGACGGCGACTGCCACAATCATTTGGCATCACATAATTGACGAGCACGCGCCTACTGCTTGAATAAGAAATACTGATTTTGTTACAACATTTCCTTGCTTTCCGATGCTCCTGCAGGAGTTGAGCATTTTTATGATATTGTTCATGATGATGTTTTGGTGGTGGTGGTGGTGGTG